TCTAATAAATAAAAAAAAAAAAAAAATTGAAATGGAAAAGGCATTCTCCATACTAATTACGAACGTGCGCGGTATGTTGCGCGCCAAGCTAGTGGAAATTTCCACTAACTACATTGTCTGTTATCAGGCGAGGATCTATCATCTATCCCGGTGTTGATAGCGGACGTTGGTGATGAAGAATCGCTGTTCGCGATGTGCCAACGTGCCAAAGTGCTAGTCAACTGCTGCGGTCCGTATCGGTTATACGGCGAGCCCGTGGTCGCGGCTGCAGTGCGGGCGAAATCACACTACGTTGATGTTAGCGGGGAACCACAGGTATTATAAACAAGGGGGAGATAGGAAACACAACATGGTAACAGAGGTATGCAGCGTTGTCGTTCTTTCCTCGCCATCACCAATTATACCCGGTTTACACTCGGCCAGTACAGTTGGACAGTTGCACCTGCCAGTCTAGTCTATATAGACTCACTGACCCCACCTAGTGTTCAAGTTATGAGAGTTGTAATTCAGTCCAGATATTGAGAGTTGCTGACCAACTGTACTGGACAAGTGTGAACCGCACATTACTAGCTATCTGTTCAACATCGTCGTAAGAAAATTCGCTGCGATTTTCAAGACAGCGGAGTAAATCTATTCTGGTGACATTTTGTAAATTAATGTCATACTTGTCGTCATTATCGACCAAATATCTATTTCAAGCTCATGTCGAAGGTTCAATGTTCGAAACAGTTTAGTAACTTTAAAGAAAGTTTCCTTGTGTATGCACCGTCCTGCCGCTGGCTCTATAGCCGTAGTTTTAGTTAGAGATCTACCCTAAGGTTGTCCCTTAGTGATACTTTAACTGTGCTGAAATGTTCAGTTCATAGAGTCGATGCAGCTGCGGTACGACGCGGCGGCGCGCGCGGCCGGCGTCTACGTCATCAGCGCGTGCGGCTTCGACAGCATCCCTAATGACCTCGGCGTGGTCTTCCTCGAGCAGAACTTTGAAGGTTACCATTCAAAACATGTTTCATGTTAACGTTTACACTGTGTCTATTGATACGCTCTTAAAGTTTACAGGATACTAGATTTTGCCTGCGACTATGTCCGCGCAAAATTACAATAAACATCTTAGTAAGCGACCTATGTATTCTTCTACACTATCCGTTCAGACAGATTCGTTAATCAGTTTTGGATATACTCAGCTGCTTAGCAACATCCACAAAAGTACAGGATGTTCCAAAATATGATTGAATATTGTTTTTCGTGTCCTATGTTAATTTTAACAAAGGTGTGTTCTGCAAACAGGTGTAGACTAACGAACAAACACCGTGATTCAAATCTTATCTAGATTTTTATGCTTTATCTAGCTTTCGCCCGAGACTCCGTCCGCGTGGAATAAACAATATCTCATTATTGTATAATAAACATAATATGTAAATGCATTTCGAGAAAGTTAAGTTGTACCCTACGTGTTAAGTTATAATTTGTAACTTTGTGTTTTTCTTTGTACTAAAATAACGCAAAAAGTACTGAACAGATTATAAAATACTTACACCACTAAAAAACTATGTTATCACCGAGTAACATAGGCTATTTTACTATTTTTTTTAAATACACGCAGGCGAAGTGGCGAGTAACAGCTAGTTACTTATATAAAAGGTGTGTCAGGTACTTTGAACTCCGTGGAGTCGTACATAAGCGCGCACGTGGCGGGCGAAGCCAGTGCACTGGCGCGCCGGCATGGCGTCGTGCACCGCGGCACGTGGGAGTCCATCGTCTATGGGTAAAATATACATTAGGGCTGATATACACGGACTGTGTACAAGCCTTTACTGTTTAAATACTATCTTTGTAATTTCTCATTTCCCTTTGTTTAGCATATAAGGGTCCCACCAAATTGTAAATTGTCTGATAACACTCGAACGTGTAAAATACGAGGGTGAATCAAAAAGTTCTTAGAAGTGCATATACTCGTATGTGATGAAAATATCGAATTTTGTTCCCTCATATGATAGTGACGTCATTTTTAAGCTATCTGTGCCGCTATCAGCCAGTAGTGGGACAGGCTCTAAATGTCTTTAAAATGATTGTATGGTTTTGTATCAGTCAATAACAGCAACAAAGTAGAAAGAATAGAGTGTTCTAGAAGCAATGTAAGTAATCCATTGCTACTTCTGTTTTATGTCAATAGCGGTATAGTTGTCAGTTAGAGTGCACACCTGTGACTAAACTATCGCCCAACTGTTGTGCGATTGTCGATTGTCGCAGCCAATTCAACTGTTTAGTTGCACAACTAAAAATCGAGTAATCTGCGTTCCATATAAGGTCATAGGAATCGAAGCGCGACTGAACAGTTGTGCGATAGTTTAGTGGAAGGTTTGCGCTCAAAGCAATGTATTGTGTGCAGCGTGACGCACCGCAACGAGCTGCCCGCGCTGCGCAAACAGCTGTACCCCACGCGACTGCCCGACTTCTTCCCCGCGCTCGGGAAACGGTACTGCCCTATTGCTCTACCACACATTGACCTACCACACACACTGCCCTACCATACACTGCCCCTTCCACACACTGCCCTACCACATACTGCCCTTCCACACACTGCCCTACCACACACAGCCCTACCACACACTGCTCTACCAAACATGACCCTACCACACATTGCCTTACCACAGACACTGCCCTACCACACCCGGCTCTACCAAACATTACCCTACAACACACTGCCCAACCATACACTGCCCTTCCACACATTGCCCTACCACAGACACTGCCCTACCACACACGGCTCTACCAAACATTACCCTACCACACATTGCCCTACCACAGACACTGCCCTACCACAGACACTGCCCTACCACATACACTGTCCTACCACACACAGCCCTTCCACACACATCACATGTACCATACTCTAATCGACACAAAGCTCATTGTACATCCCTATCAAAGGGCTCAGAAGTTACCCCTAAGTGAGTAAGTGACTAGGACATAGTCAACCACGCTGGCTCACTGCGGGTTGACTTCACACATATCTTCAATTTCTTCGCCGATAGATTACATTTTGATGATTTCCTTCCTCGTAAGAATGTTGGGTGAATTATGTAACACTAGCTTTTACCCGCGACTCCGTCCGCGTGGAATAAAAAACAAAAAAAAAACTTGTGTGTTCTTCCAGACTATATTCTATATCTATACCAAATTTGGTCCAGATCCGTTCAGCCGTTTACGCAACAAACACTAACAAACATCCATCCATTTAAACTTTTTCGTTTATAACATTAGTACATTGGATTCGAACCCAGGATCTGTAGATTACAAGGCGAGTGCTTAAACTCTTGAGATATCGACGCTCTCAATTTTTAACTGCTTGTACTTTTATATTGTTAAACATAGCGTATTTTTTTTTGAGATAACCATCATCATCAACTTGCCCTTATCCCTTACGGAGGGTCGGCACAGTATTGCTGCTCTTCCATACATCTCTATCAGCCGTCATATCTGAATCCACTCCTTTCTTAAGCATATCTTCCTTCACACAATCCATCCATACTTTCTTCGGTCTTCCTCTTCCTTTGTAGCCATCCACATGCAATCTCAACACTTTCTGGTTTATGTCCTCATCATTTCGTCGCATAACATGTCCAAACCACGCTAACCTTTTGCTTCTCAATTGAGAAAACCAAAAGTAAATAATAAAATTGATTAGTGGAAACATGTATCTCTTTACAGGACAATACACAGGAAGAATGGGGCATGGTGCGTCCCCTTCCCTGGCGCGGACGCTTCCATAGTATACCGCACCCAGCGGGAACTCTACACCAGGACCAGCAAGCGCCCCGTCCAGTTCAGGGTCTACGTCCGGCTCCCCAACCTCGTGAGCCTCGTCGCCCTGCTCTTCGTGGGGTTCATTCTGGTGGGGTTCAGCATGGCGGCGCTGACGCGGCGCTGGCTGATACGCCACCCGAAGCTGTTCACCTTCGGCGCGGTCACTGATGATGTGAAGGAGGAGGTGATGGACAATACTCACTTCCAAATGGAGCTGCACGGTGAGGGGTGGGAGAAAGGCTCCGATGAAACTGCACCCCCGAATAAGAAGATGGTCGCTAAGGTAATTTTTCATATCCCCTGTTTTATACATAAATCGTTGAATTCTAACTTTTTATGGTTACTTCTCACATAATAACACTACTACTATAAAGAGAAAAGATTTGTATTTTTGGATGTATTTGATTCACGTAAAATCTACTGGGTCGATTTTAAAAATCCTTTTACCATAAGAAAGGTAATTTATCTGTAACATAGGCTACATTTTTTATTGTAATTTTAAGCAAAGTTGCGAGTAAAAGCTAGTAATAGATGTTTTAATTCACGTTGTTAGTTTTTTAGCGAAATTACCCGCGTGGTATTAAAACTCAGTAAGCTACTTATGTCGCTCAGACTATATTCCACATTTGTGTCAAATTTCATCAAGATCTCTGCACTTTTAATATTTATAATATTAACATGATTTAAATGAAGTATAATTAATAGTAACAGTTTTTATAAAACAAACTGAAAATTCATAAATGTATTTCTTTCGTATGAAATTTAACGTTTATTCCGTGGTATATCGCAATAATGTCGCGAAACATGTTGCGAGACAGTGCAACTTTGTTGTGTGTCAGGTGCGCGGCACCAACCCCGGCTACGGCGCCACCGTGGTCGCGCTGCTGCACGCCGCGCTCACCCTGCACCACCCCCAGCGCATGCCTCCCCCGTAAGTACACCCTTATAGCTTCCCCCACAAAAACTAAGTACTCTATGTCTTCCTCCAGACTATCCTCTACATCTATACCAAATTTCATCGAAATCCGTCCAGCAGTTTAGGCTACAAACTGTAACAAACATACGTTAAAATTTTTGCATTCATATAAGGCATTTGCACTAAAATACCGGACTATCAAAGTGGGTTCATGAATATGTTGGCAGCATCTTATGGTCTCTTTCTCACATTAGGGTTTTTATCCAAAATACTTACCCCCTAAATTTAATGGCGTAAAAATATATAGCCTAAAGCATGATGTAAGTGTAAGGCTTTTTATTAAAAAAAGAATAATTCAAAAATATGGTGTAATTGCTGACATCTTAGGCAACAAAGAAGTGTGTGTTTACACTTTATTATAATAGTATAGATATGTTAACACTAAACATATTTAGTAGCTAAGAGATGAAATTCAAAAGAATTGTGAAAATACCGAGTTCGAATCTCACTCGACAAAACTTTTTTTCTAAATCTTTTTTATGATGTTTCAAAATAAATTCTAACTAAATGTGACTCAGCGATCAGACTTGTAATCTGCAGGTTTTGGGTTCGAATCCTGGCTTTATATTGTTTTTTTTAGTACTATAACAATCAAATATTTCTCAATTCTGTTTTAATTGGTACGGAGTATTGTAATACGTTTTTAGTTAGTGATTTAGCTTTTTTTTATTGTTTAGCGGCGTGTTGACAACCGGCGTCGCCTTCCGCGACACCGACCTCATACAGCGGCTTCACGACAACGGACTACGTTTTGAAATTGTACACAAATAAACATATATACCTCATTAATAATTATGTATTTTAACATAGAAAATATATAGTTGCAGATAAACACAAACATATGTCAAAGTTACATTTGTTAAAAACTTTTGTGACTTAGATTAGAGACATAAGAGTCTGAGTCTGTCTAGCACGAACATTTGAGCGTAATAAAACTATGGGGAACACCAAAAAACATACACATGTTGATGTGTTAACGAATACTTTCTCACCAAATTTTCGTGCTCGGTCCCCTGATGTGAGCCGTGTATGTTGTGTTTAGTTTTGTAATGTTTTAAAAGAATCGAGTATTTATAGCACCAAAGAACAGTTTGTATGTTTTTTGTCATATGTAAAACATGTTCAGAAATAGTTAATAATAAAATAATATCACTACTTCCTGTGTTTAATTTAATCCGTTGTCTCGAAAATTATTTTATCAAGCAACAATAATAAGCGCCATCTAGCAAAAGAAAAATAAGCTAAGTAGTTTTCGCTTACCGATTACTAGATGGCGCTTGATCGCAACAGAAGCCATGCGTTCGTCAAATTAAATGACGAACGATAGGTTTTTCAATTTCGCACTTCTGCAGTCAAAATTTTTATTCGCCTACACAAGTAAATTAATAAAATGATACAACTATTTCTAGTTTTAATTTATCACAAATTCGTCAACAAGAATAAACAACAAACGCCATCTAGGTAAATAATGCAAGCTAAATAATTTTCGCTTATTTACTGGCAAACTAGATGGCGCTGGTTGACAAAACAAAGATGAAAATATTTTATATTTCTGTGAATACCCGGATATAGAAAAAATAAATTAATCCTAATATCTAAACCACAGATAATACAACATTTTCCTAATGTTTTAAAGAGAAAATATACTATACTACTACTGATTTTTTTTAACATAAAAATAATGGACTAAAATTATTCTGCCAATAAAAAAATGCATTATCATGAAATATCATAAGCTACGTTTATCATTAGCTTTTTGTTATAATTTTTCATTGGTAAATTTTATTTAAAGGAGTTTGTCACATTCAGATGTGAAATTAACATTATTTTCAATCTTCACTTTTTTTTTGAAAAGTTTGACAGAGAAATTCACCGCGGTTTAAAAACGACAAAAAATTAATAAAACCACCATTGAAAATAGATAATTAATTTATTGAATAAGTAAAACTTCCTAAAGATAAAAAATGTACACACGTTCGCTTACCACGCCAGCTATATGTACACAGTGGCCAGTGCCCACGCCCAGCCCACTGCTGGACAACACGCGGGCACACAATAAATACAACAAAAATCAGCTTTGGTCCAAAATAAAAGATTGTACAAAATTAAATACGTAAAAAAAGCAATATCGCAAACTTATTCAATAAAAAACAAAACGAAACCCAAACTATAAAATAAAGTTTGCGGCAGAGTCAAAGGTTGACAGAACCTAACTTATAAAGGTAATTACAAGAAAATCAGTAAAACCGTAATGCCTATCTTTCTAGCAATTTAGTCAAGTACTGAGTAATCTAGTAACTAAACATGTCCCAACAACAGAATTTTTTTAGATTAGCAAATTATATAGACGAAAGTATTATAGCACTAGTCTAGTCGTCTAGTGACGTAGGTAGGTCTGTGTTTGACGACGTTACGGGGTATAATGTAACATGGCATCAGCGTCAATAAGTAGTGTTACAGTAAAACTAGCGAGCAACAAGAGGAATACGGATACACCTTGTAACACTACACCGAGTAACGTTCAGCACACGGCTTCACATGCTTTGATTATACGAGTAGTTATAGTTCCTACAGTATAGCTAGTTATATAATCTCATCGCTTTAAAGTATAGTCATTAGGCATTAAAAATAATGGAAAAAAACTGCTAAGAATGACATTACAAAGTTGTAAATTGATATGTGATATGTTGATTATTTTTAATCTTTACCAGAAAAATAATGAAACTATGAGAATGGCGCGAAAATAATGTTTACATGTCAGAATGTTCGTTCGTTTAATTTTTATAAGTATCGCGGCGAATTAATGCGGCGTTAAAAAGAAAAATCTTTCAATTTTTCATTAAAAGCCAATTAATTCTTTACTTATGTGAGGCAACACTTTTTAATGTAACTTAATTTGTAGCTGCAATGTAACGCTTAAGTAACCTCGTTACCAGTTTGCTTATAAAACAAATTATTTGGATTACTTATCATTATTTGAGCTATAAATAATTATATCAATCAATTATATACAAATTACTTTGACACATTTTGAAATCTGTGTTGAAGTTTGCATTCCTTACTCAGAGGCCTATCACGAATTTGTGAGAATGTACGTAACGTCATCGACAGTATTAAATTTGTGCGCCCCTACCGGATGTAAACTACACTAACAAATATACTTATCGACGTTACGAATACGTACTCGCAACTGTAGCTTATTCGTGATAGACCCTCAGTATTTAATTTCACTTCAAACCATCGAAAGGAAGTGAAAGAAGGAAGTCCACTATTTGTTATTTGTATCAAGAGTCTTTAAATTATTTATGACTAAGTTTAAATTTAACTTTAACTGGATTCTCGGCTGTTTTCGCTGGAGCCGAGGGGGTTATGTGCGGGGGTCTGCGCGGGCGCGGGGCCGGCCTCGGGGGCCACGATCAGCCCCTCTTTGATTCTCTTCTTCTGTTTCATCCGTCTATTCTGAAACCATATCTTGACTTGGGTTTCGTTCAGCTGCAAGGCGGACGCTATTTCTATCCTTCTTGCTCTTGTGAGGTATTTATTGAAGTGGAACTCTTTTTCGAGTTCTGTCAGTTGTTTGTTGGTGAAGTTGGTGCGGCCGGTGTTGTTGAGGCTGAGTAGGGGGTTGGCCAGCATCTGTCCGCCGGTGGGAGTCCTCATGCCGTCTTGCGGACTGCCCAACACGCCTTGACTCGTGAACTCCGCCGGTGGAATCATCAACTTTGGAGCTGGAAGAAAGAGAGATTTGGTTTAGTTTACATATTTCTTTTTAAAGCAATTTGCGTTGGTGGTTGTTGAAGGTGTTTGTGAAACGGATTACTATAATCTTGTTAAATCGTATGTCATTAATGTCAACATTTTTTATTTAATTTCGATCACTTCTGTGGTACACACGGTTACCCTATTGATTACCAGCTCTGTTTATTCGATTCCTTTTTCCGTTTTGTTATAGTAACTAGATTAAGATTAAAATCATTTGAAAGTGTTTTCATAAACCTCTTAGGATGATCACCGTGAAATCAATGGAACTGCAAACGTTCACAAAAATGTACGACTTTTTTTCGACGCATTGTGGTTAACGTGCCGAATAATATAATGTTTGTCCGGAACAGGTCTGTTTACACAAAAGCCTTATTGCGAGGATAATCTTCGTAAACTGCGCTGTCCATGGGAGCCGGTCTAATGTCAACTTGTGACAGGTGTCAATTTTTTGTGGCGCGCACAAAGAGAGATAAAAGATATTTCAATAGCGCGGCTCCCCGCGGCGCAGCGCCCGCCGGCCCGCCGGCCCGCCGCGCCCGCCGACCAGCGCACGCACGTGAAGTTCTGACGTTTATTATGGGAGATAAGTAAACAGGTATTGTACTCAGAGACAGCTATCAACTGGACCATTTGTTGAACTCTGCGACTGTTTGTGCTATTTAAAGTTGTCAGTCAAGTTTCAAATGTCTGTTTGTATTTTCAACGGTATAATTTCTGAAGAAAATCTAATATTTCTGTGGCTTTTTTAGAGGAATTTCAAATGAATCATAAAACTTGTGTATCTAATGCTATGCCAAAATGTATACAGATTTCCAAATACAATTTAAAAAGTTAAAAAAGAAAATAGTTCAATAGGTGCGATTATTGTATCAGTGTTCGATCGGAAACAAAACAAAGATTTCTCATTGTATCAGGGATTACAAATATTAATTTTGAATTGAAAAATATTAATTGATAAGATTCTGATATCAATTTACACAAGAGACGTCGTAAATCCGGCTACCAGAGATCGCTATCTGGTATCAGAGCTTTCCAATCTAATCATTCGCTTCAAAATTATTTGATTTCTATTACAATTTATACCTAATTATAAAAACTTGCATAGTAAATGGGTTAAATGACGTCATTATAACTCTGTTATTTTGAAATTAACTCAATGTGAAATCAACGACAACCTCCATACGGAGACCACGTCCTATTAAACTTTCTCACTGTATAATTGGACTGTTAAATGCGAAACCACAACATATATATGAATGAAATTTCTTGTGATCTACACTCATTATTTTAAACAGGAATGTGCGAGCGAGCCTGTTATTTCCTCAAAGGCCAACACGTCTGTAGTTCCTCTGGTGTTACGGATGTCTGGGCGTCGTTGACCACCTCGGTGTTCTCGCCGCTTGTTTGCCCACTTTTATTATAAAAAAATGTGGTAAACAAACGACAACCAGATTTGGCTTCCGATGTCCATAGAAAATGGTAAGAAATTAAATAAATAATAAAGAATCCTCAAATTTATTAGTCGTTCTAATTAATATCGAAAGGCTGTAAAACTATCGGATCGTGTACAAATATTGCAAATTATCAATAAAAGTGTAGCTGGCAACTGGCAACCCTTGCCGCCGCGTCATGTCCGGCTGTCCTGCTAATTGAGCCGGGGGATGGTGTTGAAGGCACGACATATGTCCACACAATATTACATCTAAACCCCCGTAAATCGTAGAAACCAAAATAAACAAAGCAATTGGTCTATGTTAAAATAAATCACGATAAGCCAAAGTATGTATGAATCTTGGCCAGTGCGTTTCAATCGCTTTTATTATGCTAGAATTATGAACATTTTGCCGCATTGTGTCGAAAATTTTTATATTCCTGGTCATTCTAGAAAATCAAAGTAGCCATTCTACTCGTGGACTTAAGAATCTGCGCTCATTCTTTAAAAACCACAAAGTATAGATTTCCTTTGATACCGTTGCTACCAAAATGGTGAAACTAAATAGAATTATTATGCTTAGAGACTTTAATAAAAAGTAGTTAAAAGTTAACATTATAACTCCATTGCGATAATACTTTAGTATTTGCAAATATTGTTATTTGGAATTTAGCCGTTTTGGACGAGAACGGGTTAAACTTCGACTTGCGTGTTTAATTTGGCGGTATCGTTTACATATTGTTTGTGTTCCAGCTAAAATGTTTACACTATTGCGACCGACGGCGGCGAAGGCACCTGGCAGTACCGGTCTGCTTGCGTAAATACAAACAGACGCACAAGCCTGCAAGCGAACATGCGCGTTTGTTTGACGCGGGATGACTTGTAACGCGGACTCCAAATAGAACCGTTTTATTTGATCGTTTAAAACTGGCCAGTATATTTGCACTTAATTTAAAAATGGAATAACATTTTTTTAAGTCTCTTTTATTAATAGCTGCAGACAAATGAATGGTCAGCTACATGTAATTTCATTTCTTTCTAATTAAAAGTGAAGCATTAATTATAACCTCTATTTCTTGTTATTTCTATGATTGTTGTTAACCAGTAATTTGTATAAATACTGACAAAACAAATATTATCAAAACCATAAGTGAGTTCAGACAACATTCAATATTATCCTTACGTAATACCATAGACAAACTTTATAGTTTTTAACAACATTTCGTGGCGGGCATTTCCTTGTTTAATTGCGTCAAATTCGGAAAATATGAACTGATTGTAAATAATTTTGGATTAATACTTCATTTAATTAAATATATGTAGTAATGATTTAATCATTTAGTAATCAGAATTAGTGCTATTAATATTTTTAACATTAGATTTTGTTTGAGTTAACATCACGTGTTGTTTGAATATAATTAGCTGAATTAGGAAATAATTGAGAAAACTATACAGAATGTTTTAAAAGCAGTATTCTAAGAAATTACGTTAGCAGTAGTAATATCGTTGTTTGAACAAAATTTTAAGAAAAATGTTTTTGAACTGTGTTAAATTGTGAAGAATAATAATTTTTACTAATGCACAATGTAATATTTAAATAGATGTCTATACAATATGATTCTGTCTGAAAACGAAACATTTTTCATATGATTATTTTTCAGTGGGGAATTACGTAAATCCGAACTGAAGAATGATTTTAAAAGTAAAGACTAACATAGGTTTTTTCCTGTGTATATTATATATTAATATTATAAGCAAGGTTCACGGAAGCTGTTGTGTGCATAGTTTATCTCCTCAGTAAACTAAGGTTGACGTTGCATAACTATTTTCTCAGGCTTCTGCCGCTTAATACTAAAAATAGGCTAAAACAGATGAAACTAATATCTGTCTCGCCTTATGCTTCATCAATACCTACCGGCCGGGAATACACATGACAGTAGCTGGCATACTTGCATACCGGGCACTAGCATGTTCCAGGTGTGAACGTTAACTTGTATGCCAGTAACAGAGCCTGTAGTTGTAGCTAGCAGCATTTTTGTCCTATAATCAAGTTAAGGGAGGGGTTTAGGAGGGTCTTATATTAGAGACAAACATGTCTTATCTCTCAGGATCTCGTTGACATTTTATTGGCATGTTTAATTGCATTGTGATTGTGAACTGGCATTTGTATTTCCGCTTTAAACCTAACTTAAAGCTTTAAAAGATGCAATGCGAGGACATTGTATGTTACTTTGTGAGTTCAAATCAAATATTTGTGGACACACAATCTTAATTCGTGCACACATATTTGTTTGTTTCGTTATTTTAATATGGAAAAGTGCAGATATATTTTTCTTTTAAAGTTTATTGCGCAATATAACAGTGTTTATGGAATTTCAAAGTTGAGTCAGTTGTGACGCAGTTGGCGCAGTTGGCGCAGTGTTTGTGCCGCGCCGGCTGTAACAGTAGAAGGCCGCGACACGGCTAATCCATTACCCGGCGCAAATGTTTGCAGAGCAGCGACTGGCGTTTTCGGCTTTTACCAATCTCTATCCCGGACTCTGCGGTGTTAGGTTCCACTCGCTTGCGTAAGCGAGATGTTGATTTTTTATTTTGAAATGGCCGAGCGGGTTTTGTTTATTACCAGTTATAAGTTATGTTTTTCACGTTATCAATAAAAAAAATTCCTATAAAAGAGTACTTTAGATTAAAGGAATCTAATGATATTTTTTACGATATGTGCACGTTATAATAAAAAGTTTACATTACGGATATCTATTAGACTTATAAGCTAATAAAATCAACGACTATAACCTAACTCATAAAACAGAAGTTATAATGTGCCCGCTGTATTTACAACACTCAATAGTAAATAATAAACGAACTATTATTGCATTTTTAGATAAACAACGTCGTAAGCCCTTTTAATAAGGCAATTAATGGTTGAAATTACGCCATTTACAACTTTTAACCCTTTTATATTCGATGCGGGTGGCGATCCATAAATGTCTTTGACCGTTTACCAGCCAACACAACAGTCCGTTTACAATTTTGTATAATTCAATCAAGTGATATTGTCTGCGAGTACGAGTGCGAGTGGCCGCTGGCTGCTACTCGTACGTCAACGCCCCACTGACAGCTCGCAATGACCACAGATAACTAAATTGATGTTCCCGCTTAACGAATGGCGGGATAATTTCAATGTATACAGATGATACAGCTGTTTGTCATTGAAAAGAGTTTTCTGTTTTTTTGAAAATTCATATTGATTTATTAAGTTAATGGTCCAAAGCCTAGATTGATTTGTCCTCAGTCTTTTAGTTATTATTAACATGACGTTCAGTGTTTACTTCTCATGTTATATTTACTAATTTTTAATTCACAGTATAACAACAAAAGTTTAAATAATAAAATAAAATATAACCTCTTTATTGTCATCAAGTTTAGTAATAGTTTTACTTTGTTAGGTTTTAAAGAACACCATTAGATAAAATAGGTTTTTGAGGATACTAAAATACCAACAAATATGAGTATTTAAATGTCAAGCGAAGTTGA